CCCCAAAACCCCTGGGCAATGCCAGGCCAGCTGAGACCCCAAAACCCCTTGGCAATGCCAAGCCAGCCGAGACCCCAAAACCCCTGGGCAATGCCGAGCCAGCCGAGACCCCAACAGCAACTGGGAAAGAAGAACTCAAGAAGGAGGTTAATAATGATGTGAACTTCAAGAAGGGGCATGCAGGAGCCCCAGATAATGAAAAAAGATCGGAGAGCCAAGGGACAGCCCCGACCTTCAAGGAGAAGCTACAAGATGTCCGTGTGGCAGAGGGCAAAAAGCTGCTACTCCAGTGCCTGGTGTCCTCTGATCCCCCAGCCACCATCACCTGGACGCTGAATGGAAAGACGCTCAAGACCACCAGATTCATCATCCTCTCTCAAGAAGGTACATGAGGGCAGGGGGCGGGGGGGGGGCTGACTCATGGAGCCTTGGTCTTGTCCATGGCTGCTCATAGCCAGTAGCCTGGTTTGGAATACTTAGCTTCTGTCCCCCCTTACCCACAGGTTAGGTCCACCCACCCCAGGGCCTTAGGCATATGCCCCATTGCTGGAGCGTGGGGGGCAGGAGTCTGGTCCTGGTGGCACATGTCTGTCTTGGCGTCTGTCTGGCAGAGCCATCTCATGCCCCCTCCCCACCTGTGGCTCCTTAGAGTAACCCTGGGCTTGAGCTGGTGCTGACAGCTCTGCCATGGACAGCTCTGTCTGCAAGCTTGGAAACTGCAGAGCACTGAGGCCAGAGCCAGCTATGGGCTCTGAGCTAAGAGCTGCATAACAGCAGCATTTTCGGTTTGGGGAAGGGTGAGCAGTGATGGGCTGGTATGGGAGTGTGATTTGGGGTCAACAGCAGTTTAAGTCTTGAAAACATTGTAGGTTTGGCGAGACCTGAGGGGGAAGCCAGAAACCCCAAACAGCCCCTATGACACTCACTTAGGCGGACAGAGCAGCTTGCTTCCTAATTTGGATGAGACTTTTGTTTGCTGGTATTTCACATTCTTAGGTGGTGGGAAGAAGGGGGGGGGGACTAGATCCTGCCATCTGTGGCCTTCTGGGGTCTGGAGTTCTCAGATGGGCCAGTGTATACCTGGAGAAGAGGCGGGGTTGAAAGGGGTATTTTCCCTGGACCCTCAATTTGGTTTGAAGTGTATTTGTAAATCTCAGGCCTGGGGTGTGCACTTAGGTGGGCAGACATCCAATACCCTACTCTGGTGGCCAGCATGGGGATAGATTGCCAGAGTAGAATAGAGTCCTTCCTGAGCCTGAAGCTGATGCTGGTGACTCTGGACAGCATCTGGGTACAAAGAAGCTGCCCAGGAAGTGGCATTTTACCCTTGGTAGGCAGAGGGTGGCCACCACAGAACAGGAGTAGGCAATTCCTTGTCAAATCCAAACCAACTGAGACGTCAGAACCCCTCATTCCCCCCTGTGCATGCTCTCCTTCCCGTCCTACGACTGCACTCTCTACTCCCTCCCTCGGCCCTGGAGTCCGTCCTTCCTCTTAAATACTGGAATGAAGGCTTTGAAGAAAACAGTACCCCTCTCAGCTCACAGTGAGGTTTCCCTCTTCACTCCGCATCACAGACAGCAAATCTGGAACAGTTGAGTGTCTTGAATCTGAATGCTGTAGGAGTGAAGGAGAAATTGGCCAGGAAAGAGAAAAATGTTTTCTTTTTTTGCTGATGTGTTGACACAGTCACTTGTTCAAGGGATGTCCCCAGATTGGCCAGGTCCTCCAGAAGTCATCTCATCCACCCCCCTGCCTCTGCTAGCTCAGCCTCCCTGAGGTCCACACACAGATGGGCACAGGAGATTACTATGGTGGGGTGAGATGTCCATGGGAGTAGATATCACAGCCTGCTCTGTCACTCCTTGTGGGGCCCTCCCAAATGGAAGGCCCTGGGTAAAACTGCCATCCTTGGAACATGCACAGTCCCGTAGGCCTGCACAAGGTGAGGTCCATGGTGGCACGCACCCAGGGAGACAGCTGGAGGGCAATGCCCAAGGCCGAGCAGCTGCTCTGGGACCTGCATGGGGTTTAAACCCAGAGCCACGAATAGCCACTTAAAAATAATCCACTCAACTAAGCAATGTAAGGCAGACCCCAGCCCTGGTCTCAAAAGCACCCTGAGCTAACTCAGACCTGGCCACTCGGGCCCAGAGAGCCCTGAGCATGTTTTGTCTGCTGTTCCCTGAGTGTTAAAGGGCATAGAGACCCCAGCTACTCTAGCATCCCCTCCCATGAAAACCATCTCAGACAGCTGGGGTCTAAAGCAGGGGAAGAAGGAATGATTGAAAGAAAGGCCACCACAAGAAGTAGAGAATGGGAGAGGGACCAGAGGGGATTCATGAGACAGCCCCAAATCATACTTGAAAAAAATATTCTAAATTATTTTTAAATCTCATTTTAAAAATAAGAATAACTTGCATTTTATTAACACTCTGTGCCAGATGCTGTCCTAGGCATCTTACCTTCCTCACTCATTTAGTCCTCACAACAACTATTACAATGCCCATTTAACAAGGAAGTTGAGTACTGAGCTCTAAGTTGCGCAGCTCATAGGCAGCAGAGCTGGCATTCCAATATAGGCAGAGTTCCTGAGCCCAGACCACTGTGCCCTAATGAGTCTTAAGTAATCCTTGTTGGTATGTCAGAAGACCGGTGGCAGCTGAGCAAACTTCCACGATAATCTCCTAAACAGCATTGTCTATCAAAGGCAAATGCTAATGGCTACTAACTCCTCAACATTGTTAACAGTTGTCAAAAGGTTGCAAGACTGGTGGTGACCCTGCCTCACCGAGTGTCTGGTATTTTCAGTATCATGGAGGAGGAAGCAGACCTTGAAATGGGCCTGTTCGTTCTTGCCACATTACGGAACAGTGCCTTGCCTCAAAATACCACCTCACCTTCCATCTGTCATCTTCTCTGTCGCTTCACTATTCTCCAAGTCTTCACACACGAACCCCAGGAGAAAGCCTATCGTTAGGCCTTATCAGTTGCCACTTCCGGCAGGTCCCAGTGCAGGCTGTAGGGCATTCTGAGAGGTGAGAATGGATCTTCTCTCCATAGATGTGGAAAGCGAGGACACACACTCACAGTGATATCACTATACAAGCCAAGTGCCCGTTATTGGTGTCAGGACGTGCTGACATGGAGAGAAAGCTAAGGGCTGGGGCCATCGAGAAAGGCTGGTGGTGAAAGAGCTGGGCCTTGATCTGAACTTGAAGGCAGGCCAGGGCCTTAGACCAGCAGGGAAGAGGGAGGGTATGGGCTTTCCAGGCAGGAGACCAGCAGCGCCAAAGCTGGGCCTGCTCACAGCATGTTCTGGGACCTGAGGAACAGGCCAGCTGAGCTTGAAAGGAAGGCAAGTACCTGAGTTTATCCTGTATCATGCTCAGAAACTCACTTCTGAAGACAGTAGGGAGCCATGTACACAAAGCTGGGTGTTAGGGTTTTGACTGACCCCGTGTCCAAGAGATCAGTAAGGAGGCTACTGAAGAGGTCAGAGGAAAAGGTGGTGAGGCCCAGACTTACAGGGTAGCCTTGAACACAGAGAGGGAGTAACCAGTTCAAGAAGCAAGGATAGAATTATCCTTGGAAAGGGCTTGGAAGGAGGTGGGGTAGGGAAAGAAGAAGAAGTGGATGATCACTGAGTGTCAGAGTCTGGGTGACTGGGGTCACAGTGATGCCATTGGTGGAAATGAGGAAGCTGGTAGTTTCAGGTGGTTTATAGGGGAAGATGAAGTACTTCATCCAGCACTCTCCCCGCCCCCACCCCAGCCTCTGGGTAGACTCTCTCCCTGACTTGGAACCTTTCTTGCTTCACTGAGCCCTGTGCTGTCACCTCTTCTAAGGTCAAGATTAACTTCCTCCAGAGAAACTCACATGCTGTCCTCCCTCCACATCAATGTGTACATCCCTGTGGGCACCTCTAGCCAGTTGAGTCTCTGTGTATAGGTTTCTAGGATACTTAGCTGATGTCCATAGCTTGAGTAGGGCTTGTAGCCTGCAGGCCTCCTGAAACAGTGTGGCATTCATCCCGCTGAGCACTGAGGAGAGCCGGAGAAGAGGTGTGACTGCCATTGACTGGCATTGCCTGTTAGTTCTTGGAGGGACAGACGGACATGTGGAGGCATCCATCCTCTTCCTGCATCTTCCCTTAGCTGCAGGGTGCATGGTGCTCTGTGTGCCACAGGCTGGGTCTGCCCTGCCCTCTGGGGACAGGCAGCTAGTCTGCACAGACCTGCCATGTGGGTATCTCAGGCTCCTCAACCTTGGCTGGGCTGTGGGACACAGTTGTTACTTGAGCCAAGGAGAGCTCCATGGTGCTAGGATGCTGTTTTCTGAGAGGAACTTTGATCTTGATGCTTCATTTCCTGTCTCTAAGCCAGACTCCTCTCCATGACAAAACACGTCTCACAATCTCAAGGGCCAGAAGGCAGAAGGGGACAGGAAAGTTGGTGATAGGGAACCCAAGGTTGAGTAAAGATAGTGCTGATGTGTGGTGAAGTTGTTAACCATTGTCATAGGGCAACATGTGTACTAACTGTCAAATGAGAAACTATTTTGTCCTGTAAGCCTTCATCTAAAGTGAGAATAGCAGCACAACTGGAAGAGCATAGTCGATGTCACTGAACTGTGCGTGTAGAAATTTTTGAAATGGTGTATCTTTGGCTATGTGTATTTTCACCAAAAAAAAAGGTCGAGAAGGGAGAGGGTTGACATGTTGTGGGGTTGTTAACGAATATCATAAAACAATACGTGTACTACTGTTTCATGAGAAACTATTTGTTCTGTAAGCCTTCACCTGAAGTACAATAAAAGAAAAAGAAAAAGAAAAAAGAAAAAAACACGTCTCACAATCTAATAATGAGGATCCGTTGTTGTTGTTGTTGTCAACTGATGATTCATTTTCCTGCAGTGTGGAATCTTGTGAACAACTCTCCAAAACCTGGGTAAGGTCATCCTCTGGAACACAAGGCTTTATGCACTTTACTATGTTTGAGGCACTATTCCAGCCTCTGTAGGTGTATATTAATCCACTTGAAGAACTGGTGAGCTAGAAATCCTTTTAGAAACGGTATTATCTTTTCCAGCAGCAGGTTGTATTTGATTATGTGTTCATGACCTTTTCTTGCACAGATTCTACCAGATCACCTGCTACAGAAATGGGTCATTGTCAGTCTCAGAATAGCAAATGTTTATTTTACTTCGACTACATTCCAGGCTCAGGAAAAACATTGATTCATGAGAGACATGGTCACTGCCCCCAGAGTGCGGGTGGGGGAGACAGTATGTATTGCAGGACTGAGCTTGGAAGAAGTGCTTTGGTCAACAGTCTCTCAGGGCGACTTGGGAGCACAGAAGAGGGCCAACTAGGGCTGGGGGGCTTAGAGGGGACACGGAAGGCACCATCCCCGAGGAGGTGACCTGGAGATGAGCCACACTTGTGGTCTGGGCCTGCCAGGTGGAGCAGGTCAGGAAGCTCTGCCGACTGAGGGCAGCCTCAGAGCAGAGCCTCCAGGGGTTCTGGCTGCTACCACCCACCACCCCATCCTCTTCCTCCCCTCTCTCCACACACTCAGGAAAGGAGGAAGGCAGGAGAGACTTCAGACCCTGGAGCACTTATTCTATGGCCCTGAGGGGCCCTCACAGTGACTAGCTGAGCCATTCATTGGGTCCCTGTTTCTACTGTGGCCTCCCCCATCCCCCAGCACCTCCCTCTCAAAGTTCCCCACCAAGCTGAGGCTTCTCAAAAAAAAAAAGAAGAAAAAAAGGCTGGGAAACGTTTTTACTTCTGGAGGTCAGGAATGAGCTATCCCACAGGAAATGCCAGATTCTTCATCTGGGGTAGCTGAGCCTCTAAGCCTGCCTGGGGGCCCCTCCCCCAGCCCACGCATGTGGCCGGGGGTCCTGGCTCTAGGCGGCTTAGAAAAGCTGCCTGCTCTGGTGCTGGCCCCTTGACCGGGGTGGGGGTGAGTGCTGTGGTCCCAGTGTTCCACTTCTAGTCTTCCCCTTGCTATCGTTGCAGTTTTGACACTTTGGTTTAAGGCTCAAGGCAGCTGGAGGACTGAAACTGGAAGAACTAAAGGATTTGGACAGGATGTTTGTTGGGAGTGGAGTATCTGCTCCCACAGTCATGGCCCCAGGCTGAGGAAAAGGTGCAAGGAGGGGTCAGTTTCCTCCAAGTCTTGAGTTTGGGGTGCAGAAATCATCTCACCAGCCAGCTGCCCTCTCAGATGGGTGGAAATTCTTTCTCTAGGAGATAGTTCTCCTCACCCCCTGTTCCTCTGCCTGAGTTCTCACTCCGTGGTGAATTGCCTACAAATCCAACCTGAACCCTTTCTGATACAGGGCCTGCATAAATGCTGTCTCCTAACCACCCTGGGAGAGACCCCGACCCATTGCCTGCTCCTGTAGGGGAACACAGTGAGGCCTTTCCCCAAGCAGTAGGGCCTTTTGTTGTTGTTATTGAGAATATACACAGCAAAACATACACAAATTCAACGATTTCTACATGTACAGTTCAGTGACATTGATTACATTCTTCAAGCTGTGCAAACATTCTCACCCTCCTTTTCTGAGTTGTTCCTCCCCGGCGTAAACTCACTGCCCCCTAAACTTCCTGTCGAACCTTTCGAGTTACTGTTGTCATTTTGATCCCATATTGGTAGATCTTTAAAAGAACACAATGCCGAAGGAGTAGGGTCTTATATAAGACACTAAAGAGTGTTGGAGTTGGGAGAGGGGGCAGATCAAGCCCCAGGTGGTTTGTAGGACTAAGTTTTCCCTGTTTAATACATTATCCAGGTGCCAAAGCGTAAAAGGAAGTATTACACCTTCGCTTTCGCTTTCGCCTTAGTGAGGCTCTCTGGCAGGACTAATAGCATCCTTCCTCTTCTGAGTAGCTCTTGTGTTTGTTGGTCGAGTCTGTGATCTGTCTGGGGGAGAAGGGATGGTAGTGAGTGTGTGGTTTTTGTGATCAGAAGGCCCTTTGGGGAATGGGCCCATCAGCCTCTCTTCTGGTCACGCTGTGCCCACATGTACGCCTGTGATGCACCCAGCTCTGCCTCCCGGTGCTACTGGCTCATTTGAAGGGGGGTGGGGCTGGATAGACTGCAGCCAGTGGCTCCAGGAGCAGGATGCACATGGTTCCGGCTCTCTGGACATCCCCTCCTCGTCATGTTACGGGCTGCTGCCCTGACAATAGGGGCAGCTTTGGGCAGGACGCCAGGTGTTGGCTTGTTTGTGTATCTGAACACAGGAATTAGGATACTGCTGACCTCATGCCTGACCCAGCGGACCATGTGCTTAGCTGGACTCTCCTCACACCCTGACAGGAACCCCCTGAGGGGGCCCCACAGGAGAAGTAGCCAGTCCTGGGATGAGGAGCTGAGACGGGGAAGCAGCAGGCACAGGTTCCTATGCCTGCCCAGCCTGACTCCTCTTCCCCCAGCCAGGCCAGAACAGGTGTGCTGGGCACCAGGGTGGATCCAGGCGAGAGTCCATGGGGAAAGAAGGCCACCCCTAGCCCTCTCTGACCCTGGCCCAGTGCCCCTCCTTGCTGATTCTTTAGCTCAGACACCATTCCTGAAAACCCAGCCCTGGACTCCGAGGCTATATGTCACCTTCTCCTCACAACAGATCTTCCCACAGGCTGGTGCCCCTCTGAATAAGGGTTCCTGCCCTCCCCCATCCACCTGTTTGCTCAAAACCCCCGTTTGCAAGAATTCCCAGAGTCATTGCTGTAAGCTGGGCAGAGTCCTCTCACCTGCCACTTCCCAACACAGGTCTGTAAATCTGTGCCTGGCTCTTTATCTCTCTTTGTAACACCCTGTGTGGGTCCTGTGTCCATCTGCTCCTTCATTGTGTCAGATGCTCTCCAAAGGCAGAGGCTGTTTCTCTCCCTTCTTCTGTACCTTGCCATTGTGGCCCCGTAAGAATGCTGTCTGGAGGGGAGGGCATGAGGAGGGAGGGTATTTAGGGATCAGTTACTTTGGATGTGGGCCATCAGCAGAAAGTGCCCTGGCTTTTGGTTCTCACAGGGCCTCTGTCTCTGGGGCTCCCAGAGTCTGCCGTGTGAGGACCACTCACCCGCCGTGTTCCATTGCCAGGGCAGGTATTGGGTGCCCCATGCCTGGCTGCTCAGCAGTTCTTTCTTCCTCCACAGGGTCTCTCTGCTCCGTCTCCATTGAGAGGGCCCTGCCTGAGGACAGAGGCTTATACAAGTGCGTAGCCAAGAACAGCGCTGGCCAGGCTGAATGTTCCTGCCAGGTCGTCGTGGACGGTAGGTCGAGCCGACCCATCACCACCACACATACATAGGGCCCCGTTTCTCAGCCCCTCCCCTGCCCACCACGCCTGATGGAACTGCACCCCAGACCGCCACCCCTACCCAAGGCGTTTATTTTATGGGTGTTAAATACAGGAAGGAAATGGGGCACTCTGCTTGATCATCCCATGTGGCCTCTTCCTGCCCCCTCCTTGCTGGAGGAGGGGCTGGTCACTTTATCACCTTCCCCTGCTCCAGTCCTGACCCCCACATACAGAACCTTGTTCAGCAGGGAGGCCAGGGCATGGGGCAGGAGAAGGAAAGACACACCCACAGGAAAATGACTAAAAGTGTGTTATAAGCTGCACCAAACAAGTATAGGAGCTGGCAGGACACAGTCCTGAGAGGACTGGAGAAGAGGAGAGAGCAGAGTGGGGTCCCTGTGGGGAGACGTCCTCAAGAAGGTGAGCTGGGGCTGAGGTGCCAGGGAGAGGGAGCAGGGCCTATGACAAAAGGAAAAGTAGTAATTCATCAGAGGGAGGGCAAGAGACACGTGGGAGAAGGGGCAGGCCGCCAGGTCTGAGTGGAGTTTCCGGCTTGGGAAGGGGCAAGATCAAGCTGTGAGGATTTTGAATTTGTGGTAAAGAAACACAAGTAGTAAGTTTGTGACTCTTCCTTCTCTCCCCCACGTGGAGTTTGGAATTATAGCCTTGCAAATAGAAGGACTCTTGTGGTGATTTGGACTAACAGCCTCATTTTACAGATGAGACTGAGGCCACCCAGAGACGAACCATTTCTGCCCATTTAGGGCAGAGCCAGGGCCTGTCCCGTCTAAGGACTCACAGTCCAGGGCCCTTTCTTTTTATTTTTGTGCTTCTCTGGAACTGTCTAAAAAGGTAGTTTGGGGGAAACAATTTATTGCCCTTGAAATGTCTGGTTAATAACCATTAGTGATGTTAAAAACCAGTGTCCAAATAAGGCACATCTAAGACCAGCTTGGTTGTTCTTCTGACCACCGAATATGCTCGATCGCTTGGGTTCTAAAATCCTAATCGGTTTCACTGCCATTCCAAGAGGTATAGAGCCTTTGTCCCCATTCTGAATTTTCTAATCTGATATCCTGTCCACCAAACTGAGATCTGTGATACATAGCGAAGGGAAGAAAGGAAAAAAAAGTCTTTTAAACAAATGCAGTGGCAATGCAAACTAAATGGTTACTAACCAACAGGAAAGCTGAAATTGTCTAATATTGTGTATGTCTCCCTGGAGTTAGGTGAATGTGTTTGCCACAGGGGCTCTGAGCCTCAGGGAGGAGATGTGACAGGTCAAAGTTTGCAGTCACTTCAGAAGGAAGCTTGAGACTCGAGTTTTGAGGCTGTGGGCGAGGGGCTGCTGCTACTGATGCCTGTGTCCCTGTCCCTCCTCACCTGGGCTGGCACCTCCCCACCCCACCCACTCCCACCTACCCTTCTTCAGTCCTACACTTTCTACGCAGGTGCTGCTGTAACTTGACCGAGGAAGCCTCTTTCTAACAGTCCCACCACTCTTTTGGGAACTACGCTGATTCCAACCACAATCTCTCAGGAAGCCCAGCCTGCTAATAAGGTTATCTGCTTTGGAACCCTCAGCCTTTTTGAGTCCTATTTACATGGCTGGCTTACTTAAGGCGGGAGAGCAATTCATTCTCCTTTTCAGCAAAATTTCAGCACCTTTTCAAGAAACAGCAATGGTTTGTTTTCCAAACCAAACTTTGTTTTCAAAATGAAATTTTCTTTGCCCCTACGGAAGACATTTAGGGATTCTTTTCTAAGTTTTGAGGAATTTAATCTGCAACTTAAGGGGCTTTGTTTGCCCAGATGGTCTTCTGGTAGATTCCCTTGCTCTCCCAACTAATCTTAATGACCATCATTATTTATCTCGGGTCTCTTCCAGGAGGCCTCTACGGGGTTTGGCCTCAGGCTGCAAACTGGGAGCTGGGTCTTGGAAGAAGAGCTAGAAAAGTGATGAAGAGAAACCAGCTGAGATAAGGAGACCAGCTCTCAGTTAACTGGGTTTTAGGTTGTTCTGTTTATTCCAAAGAAAAAAGGGGCAGCCCCTCCACCGCCACTTTATTCCCTGTTGCTATACTTGGAGATTTATTAGTTCCTGCATGGTGTGTGGGCTTCTTGCCACATTTAGCTTTATCTCTCCAACAAGCTCTACCTCCAGGCAAATGATAAAGAACTATAGTCTTGTTAACTGCTCCCCTGCCAGCCTTCAGCACCTTTTTACCTCCTGTCCTCTCAGTTCACCCTGCTCCCCAAAGCAACAATACTTTTGAACTTACAGATTCCAGTGGGTCTGTGCACCTTTTGACATAATAGGCAAAATTTTGTCTGTATGTGGTTTAGAGCATTTTTTCTGAAGGGAGGATCCATAGTTTTTAAACAAATCCTCAGAAGGATTCATGAATCAAAATATATTGAAGAACGTCTTGCCCCAAGGAGTAGTCATTCTTGAATTTTCAAGCCCAGTCATTGTGTGGGGTCTTCAAATCTCTCTGCATCTACAGCTGCCTGCCTGATCCCTGCGTAGGACTGGTCCTGCACCCCCATGCCCCAAGGAGAAGTCAGGTCCCTCTCCGCCAGGGGTAGGGACAGCAGCTAATGCTGATTTCTGGCTGGCTTCCCTCTGCCGCTGAGCAGTGCTGACCCTGCCCCGACAGTCACTCGCAATCAGCCTGCTTCAGACACCACCAAGGCCGACCATCTGTGGCCAACATACGGATATATAGATATGCTCTGTGTAACATCCATTCAGGCAACATCCGACCACGTATACCTCCGTGGTCCCCTAAGTTGGTTTTTTTTTTTTTAGGGGAAGCCTCTCTCCTTTTGTTTATTATTTCCCCCTAATGGTTTTAAAGACCCCAAACCCCCAGAGCAGTGGGACTCCAGGCTACATCCCAATCCCCCCAGCACCTCCGTTCACTCCCAGCACAGGGCAGCGCCTGCCACGGGCTCCTCTGCTCTTGTGCGGGCCCTGGCCAGGCCCAGGGCACTCACAGGCTCCTGGATCCGGGCTGGACGGCTGCACGTGATCAGGAAGTGACCGTACCAACAGGGCAGGGGCAGCCAGGGCTGCCACCGCCAGCCGCACTGCCGGCCCTCGCACACGCTCCCCACGCGGTCCCTGCGGCCGCCTCTCTGCGCCCCCTCATGCTCCACCCCCAACCCTGCGCCGGGACATGCGTAAAGCCCCAGTTTGTCTGCAACGGTGGGGGCTGCCACCTAGGTTACTCCAGCCGGTCAGGTGGGCAGAACAGCGGGCAGAGCTGGGCACATAACCTGGAGACTGCCTGTATATAATGCAGTGCTCCTACAAAATCCAAACCACGTGTCTTATTTCACAGAACCTATCATGGATGTTAGGTGACACATGACTGTACCTCATTACCCACACTACTGTTTCCCCCCAACAGTAAAGATAAAGGGGGTAATTTTGTCGTGCTGCTCCTCTAGCCATTTCAATCATGTTGTTGGCGTCTTTTCCTAAGAAGAAAAGGGCACTTTTGTGCACTTTCTTGACTATGGTCGCACCAGTCTTCCTTCCAAGCTCAGCAGTAGGGAATGGAAGCCTAGAGTGGGTAAGGACTGACCAGAAGACTCATCCAGGAGGGGAAAAAATGATCTTTGGTGCCTGCCATGGCCAGAGACCCTTGTGCATTTTGCATTTTTAGTTTATGCAAGAGCTAGGCAGAGTGTCTCTCTCCATGAGAAAACCACGGCTCAGTGAGGGTCAATAGCCTTCCCAGGTCAGACAGACAGTAAGTAGTAGGTCCAGTGTTTGAGCCCGAATGTCTCTGATTCCACAGCCCACAGCCTTCCAACCACACTGCACAGTGCATGACTGTGGATTTTCCATGGCAGAATTCGAACCCAGGTGTGTCTGGTTCTGAAGCCTGTACCTTCCCACGACCTGGCATGGCCTCCTTGTGAATGAAGTGAATTCAGATGGCAGTGCCTGGAGTTCCAGATCTCCCTTTGCAGCAGCCCTCCCTGCTGGGAAGTCCTTCTATGCACCTGGCCTTAGAGACCCATTTCCTGTCATTCAGACCCTGGGGGAAGAGGGAGGAGCCAAAGCCCGACTTTGACCCAAATCCCAGAATAGGAATCAGAAGAGACCTTAGCCCCCTCGGTGGCTCATCCAGCCCTTCCCAGCACACACCTCCCTTCCAACGGTGCCTGGTCACAGCTCAAACACTGCCAGCTACCAGCGGGGTCAGGGGCTCCATGCCAATGGAGGGTGGTGTTTGTTTGTGAGAGGAGGTGACATTCCAGGGGACACCCATTCCAATATTCATTCATTCATTCAACAAGTATTTTATCGCTCACCCTACGCCAGGTGCTGCTCCAGGGCCAGAGTTAAAAGCACGAAACAAAACAGAAAAAGTTCCTACTTTCGGGGACTTTGCCTTTTAGTGGGGGAGAGGCAGCGACACAGATAAGTCATGTGATCTCAGGTAAAGCCATTTTAGTGGGGGAGAGGCGCGACACAGGTAAGTCATGTGATCTCAGGTAAAGCCATTTTAGTGGGGGAGAGGTGGCGACACAGATAAGTCATGTGATCTCAGGTAAAGCAGAGGAATAGGGGAGGGGATGCTGTATTTGGAGAGAGTGGTTGCCATAGACCTCTCTGAAGAATGACATTTGAACAGACCTGAAGGAGGTGAAGGAAGGAGCCCCAGAGGTAAGAGGGAAGAGGTAGCAGCAAGAGCAGACCCCCGAGCTGTGAGGAGGCCAGGGTGGTGGGAGTCGTGAGCAAGAGTAGTGAGCCATGAGGTTGAAGAGGACCAGGGGCCAGATTTTATTCCAATTGTGAGGGGACAGGACTGCAGGGTTAGGAGCTGATCCACGTTTTTAAAGGAGCACTGTGTGGTGACTAGTCCCAGGATGGGTAAGAGGGAGAGCTGGGGAACAGTTGGGAGGTTGCTGCGACAGCCCAGACAAGAGACAGTGGTGGCTTAGACTCAGTGG